TACATGTACATACACACACACACACAAACACACACACAAACACACACACACACACACACAGGCTTGTGCTGAGGTTGGATATGAAGAGCTCTGTGGGGGTTGCAGGTAGATGCTGGGCAGCACTTGGGCAGGACCCCTGCAGTGAGCTCTGTCTGACTCACTTTGTGTACCACTGTTCACACCCTCTGACCTCTTCTACCTACTTCACTTCCATCTGTACTGTAGATCCACTTATACCCTTATACCAACTTAGCCCACTGTCTTAAAGCAAATACTTTGTTCTCGCACTACTTTGTACTGGACTAAACTAACTGGTAAATCTAAGGAGCTGCTGCTCAAATGCTGACATATTGTTTATATGCGCAGTGGTAATTGGCCTTAATTTTTCATGAGCCTATCGTTGTCTCGCTCTCCCTTTTCTTTCCTACTCAGCAAATACGCCATGATCTATCAAATGCAGTGACTGTTGCTGTCATCGCGTTTTCTTTTTCTTCCCTTGCTGCCGTTGTAATATTTTAAAGTCCCTTTTTGTTCTGGTTTATCTCTTCGCCTGCAAGTAACCCACAGGCTGTTAACTTCTCGCCACACACATGTCTAAAACGGTAGAAAGAGTTTGTCTGACACAGTATGGGACATCACAGGGCACAGGGTCTGTCAGGAGGAGAAGAGAGCAGGCAGGCACAGTTCATTAAAAAGTAAACTTCTAATGTAGCAGCAGGCCTCGGCTGCTTGACTGTATCAATGATTTAGGCCCAGCAGAAGGTCCTTAATGGATAGAGCCACCTCTCTGTGCAAGTTCAGCTGCTTCTGTCTGCCTGGCATCAAGTGGCACACACACTCCGACACACAACAGAGGCTGTGAGGGGAAAAATGTTTTTTAAGTACTTAAGTGTGTATGGCACTTTACTGGTTGCATCACACACACCCTTCTGCTCAGACACTCCCCTGTTGGATGTAGCTCATGGTTTTAAAGTAGCATAGGCTGGCTAAAGGGAGAGCCTTGTATCTGTTTGTCAGCATCCACTATACATGATCACTTTCTGCGTTCACGTTGTTTTATTCATCTGAACCAGTGTTGAACTGTGACAAAGCAGGGGACAGAGTGCGGCTAAAAGGATGAGGTCTGTGTAATGGTCCCGTCACTGCAGCCTGTGTCAAGTAGTCTGGGTGGGTTTAGGGCAAGGCAGAACATCTATGAGCCTGAGAGTAGGGCTTCCTAGGGCCACCAGATAACTATGACTTTGCCTGTCTTATAGTGTTTGGATACATGTGTCAAGTCTATGTGACTTCTCAGGTCAGATTCTACAGATTAGCTTTTTGCGGCTTGATTACATTTAGACCACATAGAGTCGTGATCGCAGTACTTCCGTATCTAGTTTGGAAGATCCGATAGCAGTGTGACCAAAATATATTGTGGTTTGAGACCTTTCCATGAATGTATTTTGGTGTGCAACAAAGGTTGATCATGTTTTGTATGCCTGTGGTAATACTCTCTACTTTAATCTAAGAGGAACAAGAGCAAAAGTTATTTGTCAATCAATTGATTAATCAGTCAACAGAATATTTATTAATAGATAATTGATTATTCATTGCAGTTTCAAGCAAATATGTAAATTACTATGAAGATATTTAAAATTGAGTTTTGAGTTTTCACTCGTGTTTTTTGACATGTCGTAGACTAAACAATCAGTTAACCGAAAAAGTAAAATAAGTTATATTTTGATTACTTAAAATCTTGTGTGTAGGTGTAGGACAGCCTGCTGTTATGTGACTTGTGAGAATCTGTGTCTCTTTTTACCCTGTCTATTGTATGTTGTGTTATTGTCTTTGTCTGTAAGGATTCAGTTTCCTTAGTTCAGCTTCAGTTCAGATATTTGGGTGATACTCCACCCAAAATCGTATCACCCTGCAGTCTTGAACGGTGGCTGTTAAAATGTTGCCTTTTGCTTCTTCAGAAACAATAGCAGCTATGGATACCTTGAATTTGTATCAGAATGTCCTACAGCATAATCCACTCTCTGCTGTCCATACTCATGCTTGTGACCTGGAAGGAGCTACATAAGCCATGATTTTTGGTTGCACATAAATAGGTACAGCAGTGTAGTGGCTTATGATTCGGGTGTGTAAAGAGGTTGCATTGGACAATTTTTCACCACCGTGAAGACTTGTCATTTTTACATTACATTCCTTTTTTCCAGACACTTTTGCCCAAAGCGACTTAAAATAAATGCATTCAACCTCGAATCAGAGTGAGATGTCATCAAATCTGAAGTGCAGCCCTCTTAAACAAACAACTAAAAGCATAAAGAGCTACAGTGCACTTGCTCAGGACAATGATAAGACTTGAGACATAAGTAAGGGTCTAGTCTGAAAAGTTGGGGTTTCAGCCTGTGGTGGAACGAGGGCAGTGGCTCTGCGGTGTTGACTTTGGTGGGCAGTTCATTCCACCGTGGCAGAGCCAGAAAGTGACCACAGGGGCATTCGTGCTCCTTTGTGCAATGGTTGCACCAGAGTGCAGGGTTTGGCCACGGTTTGGGGGTCGGAAGTAGCAGTTCCCTTCACTTTCTAGCAGACAAGTTTTAAACTTGAACTCGATGCAAGGTGCAACATAGTGCCAATGTCCAGCCAAGGTGTCCAATAAAGGTGTCCTGTTGTCCTGAGTACCATTTAAAAATAGCAAGAAAGATGTCTTGGACAATTTGGGGACTGTACAGAAAGCATTGTTACAAATTGTTTGTGTCATGGAGTATATATCTTCTTGCTAGATTTAGTGTCTTTTCAGACCCTCTTAGTGACTTTATTTCTAAAAAGTGAAAAATTTAGCAACTTATTCAGACCATCAAGGAAAAGGAAAAATACTATATTGTAATTAATTGGCGAGGGCGAGACCGCCTCTCCCTCTCCTCTTGGCAGAAAGTAGGTGTGGCATGTGGAGCAGGTTTGAGCTTCTCTCTCACTCTTTCTTTCCAGAGCTCTGGATTAGAGCTTAGCCTATATGTAAATAGTTTGTTTGAGCTGCTAATGTTATTATGCGATGTTCCTGTAGTGAGTTTGTGACTATTTGACTAAATAATATTAATGTTCAAAGTGTGTGTATGTAAATTTATATCACAGTATATCAATCAGATTTGAATTTGCGCTGCAGTTTGCAGTGATGCATTTATTGATCAAACAGATAAAAAAGGAAAAAAAAGAAACTCAGCCAACCACTAAAAGAATAATGAAACAAATTTAAATTTTTCATATAAGTACAGGGAACAGAGTGAGTCAATGAAGTGATGTGAGTTAATGAAACAAAGTTATTAACTATATTCATCAGGACGAATGGAGAAGAAAAAAAAAGCTTTTAAGCCTCGGACAGTTGAAAGTAGAATTTGAGACAGCTGACACAGAGTGAAAAAGTTAACTTTAAGCCCAGCCAATGTCGTGAACACATTTTTGGGGATCCATTGTTGCATGAAGTCTTTGTGAACGGAGCAAACTGCATTTTCTTTTTTTTCATCTTCTTTCAAGCCTGCAGGGATGATTGTTTGATACTCAAAAGACAGATTTGGGGTTGAGTTTCACTTTCAGAAAATATTCCCTTCTGGCAGGGGAACAGAATTATTTTGACTTATGGAGCCAGTTTCCACCTCTATATTTTCTGTTGGAGAACATTGTTAGACTTTTTCTGGATTACATTGGCATTTCAGAGTGATTTAACCAGCGAGATTGACAGCATTACAACGAGGCTGTCATTATCATCCCTCCTGTGGTATAATTGCCTATACTGTTGAAGAAGCGGCTCCCATCTTTTGCACTTGGGGGTCTCTGTCTGTCTGTCTTTCTCTGTCTCTCACTGTGTGCCTCCCTCTACCCACCTCTTGCATCCGTTAAACTCATGAGAGAATCCTACAGCTTTTCAGTGTGGCCATCTGTCAATACCACTCCATAAAGTGGAGTGGAGAAACGTGTGCATCCATTGGCTCTTGTAAGCCCTCCGCTGGCCTGCCTCCAGCTAGTTCTGAGGGCCTTGCTGTAGCTGGTTAACCCAGGTCTGGAGCGTCGCTCTCCAGCCCTTGTGGCTACTTCAGCCCACCTCGCCTCCCCAATCAGGCAGCTGGATGAACCTCCCTCTTCAACGCTGTGGAGTAGCTTGTAACACTGTAATGAGTTAACTTTCAGAATGATCTACATAATTTATTTCCTGCCCCCACAGGAGCTCGCTGAAGCATTAATTAATATCAGGCCCTGGTATCAGCAACCATCCCAGTGTGGGATTCCTTCTGGCTCCTATTTTTGGCACCAGTGGAATTCAATATATTTGTGCGACCAGAATGCAGTCTGTTGGACATTGATGAAAGTTATTGGTTCCTCGTGGCTTCGTACACAGACTGAGCTCCTGTATGTGTGAGTGAAATGTGGACACAGTTGTAGGCCAGATCTTACGCCACTGAAACGAGCTGACCTCGATGACAGGAGCTGTGACTAAACCTTAATGATACATGCCAACAGGTTGTATGCCCTTGTTGCTGCTGCCAGTGTTATTCTCCACTCTCAAGTACTACAGACTTATTTGTGTAATCTGATTTTTGATATGTAGTTCTCACCAGCTCTCTCTCTCTCTCTCTCTCTCTCTCTCTGTTTTCCCTCACAGAACTCAATACGGCACAATCTGTCATTGAACAAGTGTTTTCTCAAAGTGCCTCGCTCCAAAGATGACCCAGGAAAGGTGAGACTTTTAAACGTGAATGTGATTATAAAAGCAGAAGAATGCATGTCATTATGAAAAAAAAAATACAAATAGAAGAATGTGTTTAGTTTCTCAGCTGGCAGAATTCACCGTTCATTTTTTTGGTGTGTATCATGCTATCTCTGGTAGAAAAATGTTACCTTTGAACGGCTGCCAGGACAGTCTGGAAATGCATGGCATGCTCGTAATCTATTATGAACCTCCCACCCCCACAGAATTGCATTTCAAATGTAAGGAGAGACTATTTTTTTTGGACCAGCACAGACAGCAGATGTGGGTGAAGTGGAAAAAAAATTCAAAGACTGTTAAAAGTGGAGCTGTAACAGGGTAGAAGTCAGGTCGTTTCCAGAATCCTGCATCCCTTAAGTATTTAATCAAAACTTAGGCAACAACAACAAAAAACTCCGACCTCATTTGCACTCAACTCAGCTCTCCGTCTCCCATTTTTCTTCTCTGTAAAAGGATGTCCAAGTCCAACATGTTAATTTGACATTTGAATCTCAGTGGGACCACCTACAGTTGCTGTTTCAGCCTGATTTACTTTACAATCTGCAGCGACAACAACCTAATAAATAGTGTCCCCCGGTCCGCTGAGTAGTTCATGAAGAAGGAGCCTATGGGGCCTATATGTAGTATGATTATATGCATAGGTGTAACCATATGTAGCCTAACCCAGATTTCATCTCGGCACTGTCAACGCGTATGCTACATATGCTTAGAGAACCACACAAATAATTACACAAACAAACACACACGCGCACGTTTGCACCGACACATGCATGAAGAGCTACGCCTAGCAGTGTAGAGGATGGGGACTGAATGCTAATTTCATGTTTTGCTGTAATCCTCTGATATTGACACTCCTGGGAGCTGCTCCACTAAATACAAAATAATCTATTGCTGTATGGATCCCATTCCAAATGCATGGCCAACATGCTCGCATCCTTAATGTTTAATTTGGAATTTTCCTCACTCCCTTCTCCCCCGAAGACAACTTCAAAGAGGCGCTAGCCGCTCTTGATATGTTGCATCAATATTGTAATGTGGCAGGAATATGAGAACTGCTGGTTGGATGAGATAGGAGAATCATGTCGCTCTCTGTCTGTCTGTCTCCCTGAGATGGTGTAAGAGATGACAGTTGGTATTGTACATGCACACACTTTGTCTACCTCAGAGGTAGGAATGCAGCCTGTGAAGGCTACCGTTTAAAATCTTTATTTTAATTGGTCTTATGTTTCGGGGCTGGAGTTTCCAGGATGACCGGTGTACTACTTGTGTTTGTCTTTTCTATATTTACACACAAAAGGGGAACTAGATGACATAATTTATGTTGATGTATGAAAATGAGCTGCGTCATTTATGGAAAGAGAGGACATGTTATCAGGATCTGTTTAAAAAAAATCTTTACAGCAGCCTTTGTTTTATTGCTGCAGAGAATATTGTGGCTTTGCTATTTTGTTGTCCCAGACTCCACGGACACACTTCACTTGGCATTGCTACAGTATATTGCAGTATATTTGTGAATAATTTAATGACTCTTTATATGTTTTTCTTTTTTCCTGCCAACTCTCTTGGGGTGGGTGTAGGGAAATGCAGAAACTCCCCTCCCATGAGGGTTAACTTAATATGTTCTTCCCCTCCTAATTAAAAGGAACACCACCAAGCCTGGCTTTGTCTCTCTGAGTCCTAATTTTGAAACATCTGCATCTGCACCCCTACAATTAACCTCAGCATCTTAACACAAAGCTGGATCACATGTAGAGACACCTTTTTACATACCTTTTACAGTGAAGCTTCTCGTAGAAAACATGTGCTGTGTAATGAGGTTTCCACTGCATTTTACTGTAGCCTAGATCAAAATGAGATGTTTCTTCATCTTTGGTTGATTGTACTGTGTATTATTCTTCCCTCTAAGGAAAATGTTAATTGACCCCAAAGCCTTGCACATATTAAAACTTATAATTTTAACCCCCTGACAAATATAGGCCAACCCTGGCATTTCATTTTAACGATTGCAGCAGTGGTGTATGTGAACTGTAAAAATAACCGATTTGCTGGCTTTAACAAGAGCAGGCCATTGTGTATGCAGTGGTTATTATATAGATACTTGAGATACAGCTTGTTCTATGGCCTCTCCTGTTGTTCAGAGAATTTCATATGGAAATAACAATTATTCTCTCTGCTAAGGAAGTAATTTTAAAGGTCCTGATCTCACTTTCTCTCGACAATTGAGATTTTATCAGGGGCCATATGAAATATTAAAAATAAATTCAGAACTTGCAGGGCCTTAGGGTAAAAATCTGTACTGTAAGCTGCTTTTCCTGTTGGTTTCGAGGAGGAACACCATTGAAAAATAAATTAAATGGGGCCGAATGCAAAGATAAATAATGCAGCCTGGTTGTGGAATTGCTCGCTGCAGCCCCAGAGCCAGCCCCAACTGTTCTCTCCTTGATTAGCCTCGCTCAGACCTTAGAAGAAAGCAACACGGCAGGGCTAGCGCTGCCTCAATTCCTGGGCTGAGACTGTGGAGCCTTCATCCTTGGCAACAGCGCTCTGACTTAGTACCTGAGGCTGAGGAAGTAACGGCTTCAGGAAAGGCTTAGCATTTCAGCACCACCAGCTGCCCTCACCAGCCTCTCATTGAGCAGCAGCCGCAGAGGAGGAAAAGCCAAGCCTTTCCTACTAACAAAGCCCACCCACACGCCACACAAACGCGCAGCTATCAAGTCAAATAAAGGCTTGGGCTGATAGGACTGACTTTAGCAGAGCAGATGAGGCCTCTGATTTTCAAATAATGTTGTACCAAAGCAGGTAAGTCGTAGTGCCAAAGAAAGATCTGGTGCTTGTGTCCTGTCATGTCAGAGAGAGGAAATGTCTCAGTCTAGTGCACACATCCTAGGGATGTCACGTGAAAAAGCTATCTGTTGTTTTATCAGCTCACACAGCCTTCTTCTGTCTGCAGGGGTCCTACTGGGCCATCGACACCAACCCAAAGGAGGACGCCTTGCCTACACGGCCAAAAAAGAGGCCGAGGTCTGGAGAGCGGGTGAGTGTGATGAGACAAACTCTGCATATTCACCAAGAAAACACATTTCTCTGCATATGCTGTTCCTCTGCTAAAGCTTCTGCCTCCATCTCTATTTGGTTCAGGATTCATCTGTGCCTCTGTGTCTCTACTTCTGCTTCCTTTTACCCTCGTTTCTCTCCCACTCTTTCTCTACCACACGCACACTCACAAACACACACACA